TGCCCGGTCATTCTTCATGATTTTAAAACTTACTACATTAGAAGATAAGAGAATTTCCATTTTTTTAAAAAAAACCTATGGTAATCCAAACACTGTGGTTCTTGAATAAGGATGGACATATAGACCAGTGGAATAAATTGAGAGTCCAGAAGTAATCCCATACATCTGGAATGTATGTCCATCCTTATGTAAGTACCAAGTGTCTGTCTATAGAGGTATAGATAAACAAAATGTGGTATATATATATACAGTAGACTATTATTCAGCTGTAAAAAAGGGATGAAGTTCTGATACATGCTGCAACATGGATGAACCTTGAAAACCTCATGCTAAGTGAATTAAACAGGACAAATATTATATGATTCCACTTACATGAAATATCTAGAATAGGCAAATTCATAGAGACAGAAGGTAGAATAGAGGTTACCAAAGGATGAGGGGAAAAGAGTATGAGGAGTTATTGCTTAATGGTTACACAGTTTCTGTTTGGGGAGATAAAGTTTTGGAACTAGGTAGTGGTGATGGTTACACAATACTGTGAATGTAATTAGTGCCACTGAATTGTACTCTTAAAATGGTTAAAATGAGCTGGGTGCAGTGGTACCCAGCCTGTCGTCCCAGCTACTCAGGAGGCTAAGGTGGGAGGATCACTTGACCCCAGGAGTTTGAGGCCAGCTTGGGCAATGTAGTGAGACCCAATCTCTTAAAAAAAGAATTAAATGACAAATTTTATGTTATATTTACCATAATAAAAATAATTTTTAAAACTACATATGGATAATTTTATCTGAGTTATTGCTCTAAGTTTATTAGAGAAGAATTGTTTCTGTTTCTTGGGAAAGGGAGAGTTTCAGCTTTAGATAGCTGTACAAGACTCTTGGTTAAGCTTTTTGTCAGTGTCAGTCAATTTTATTTTTATTTATTTATTTTTTTTGGGGGGGGGGAACAGAGTCTCATTTTGTTGCCCAGGCTAGAGTGCTGTGGTGTCAGCCTAGCTCACAGTAACCTCAAACTCCTGGGCTCAAGCAATCCTGTTGCCTCAGCCTCGCGAGTGCTGGGACTACAGGCATGCACCACCATGCCTGGCTAATTTTTTCTATATATATTAGTTGGCCAATTAATTCTTTTGTATAGTAGAGATGGGGTCTCGCTCTTGCTCAGGCTGGTTTTGAACTCCTGACCTTGAGCAATCCGCCCGCCTCGGCCTCCTAGAGTGCTAGGATTATAGGCGTGAGCCACCGTGCCCGGCCAGTGTTAGTCAATTTTAGAGATGATGGATTTGTTCCAGGGTAACATCAGTGCACATGATCCATGCAATATATTAGACTCAGGTTTGGCCAGGGAGTTTTTCTTTGCCAATATTGTAATTCACTAAATATCTCAGTCCTGTAAGTTTGAGTGCTATACAGCTCTTCTAGAAGTCCTTATCGAAGGATGAAATGTTGAGACTGTAAAATTTAATACATTTATTCTTTCTTGTGAAAGGACATTTGAAGCTTATTTTTGAGGGAACTTTTCATGTTTCTCTCTATAGAAACCTATTAGAGGCCGGGCATGGTGGCTCATGCTTGTAACACTAGCACTCTGGGAGGCCAAGATAGGAGGATTGCTTGAGGCCAGGAGTTCGAGACGAGGCTCTACCAAAAAAAAAAAAAAAAAATCAGCCAGGCATGGGGGTGCATATCTGTAGTTCCAGCTACATAGGACACTGAGGCAGGAGGATCACTTGAGCCTGGAAATTTGAGGTGCAGTGAGCTAAGATTGTGCCACTGCACTCTAGCCCAGGCAACAGAGTCAGACTCTGTCTCCAAAAACAGAAAAACCTATTAGACTATTTACATGTTTATTAAATATTAATGAAGTTCCTCAGTATGTGTTTTTTTTTAAAGAAATGGCAAATTTGTATTAGTCTTTAACTACTTTCATATTCTTTGCCCATGTCACCCTTATAACCACTATAATTTTTATTTTTATTTTGGATTAGTCAAGGAACCAAGGCGATCATTCATTTTGGTCAGTCTGTTGGTGTAGAATAAAACAAATTAATTGATCTACTTGAGTATTAAGACTTATAGATATAATGTTATTTTTCAAAGAGTGATATATTATTTTGTAATTGTTAAATATAGCTATTATATATTTTATTCAGCATTTATAAAAGATCTTGTTGAGTGATTGTGATAGTCTGCTCAAATATGTTGTTTTTTCTAATATTTTTAAGCTTCGAGATTCAACAGAACAATTTCAAGAATATTATAGGCAAAGATTACGCTATCAACAGCATTTAGAACAGAAGGAGCAACAGCGACAGATATACCAGCAGATGTTGCTCGAAGGAGGTGTCAATCAGGAGGATGGTCCTGATCAGCAGCAGAATCTTACTGAACAGTTCCTCAATAGGTTGGTCTATAAATCACTTTTTAAAAATATAAGGAATTATTTGAAAGCTATTTAAAGCATGCAATAATTGCTACTTTCCATGTATAGTTTGAAATTTTAAGGCTTTTTAAGTGTTTCAAGTAACATGGAGTTACATACTGTCTTCCAGTCACAGCATTCTGGAGCTCATTTAGCTTTGTCCTTCTTTCCTAAGCAACTAGAGCAGAAGAGTGTGGTGGTTCAGTATACAGGATAGAAGAAGACTGCCAGGTAGATCCAGCTCTATCCCAGGGTAGCTAAAGACTTAGGGGATGTTACTCTGTTTGTTTTTTGTCTGTTTCCTTTATCTACTTCACAAGGTTACCAGAAAGATTAACTGAATTACTCTAGGTAAAGTGCTTGGAATAGTACCCAGCACATTGTAAGCACTCTGTTGTTAGTTGTTATTGTTATTATGAGTGCTTAAACCTACAGATTCTTTAGGATTCAATTTATTTATTGATTGATTGATCGACTGAGACAGAGTCTCACTCTGTTGCCCCGGCTAGAGTGCTGTGGCATCAGCCTAGCTCACAGCAACCTCAAACTCCTGGGCTTAAGCAATCCTTCTGCCTCAGCCTCCCGAGTAGCTGGGACTACAGGCATGCACCACCATGCCCGGCTAATTTTTTCTATATATTTTTAGTTGGCCAATTAATTTCTTTCTTATTTTTAGTAGAGATGGGGTCTTGCTCTTGCTCAGGCTGGTCTCGAACTCCTGACCTTGAGCGATCTGTCCGCCTCGGCCTCCCAGATGAACTGCTTTTTAAAACTGATTTTTAAAGTCTTTTTCTTATACCCTAAAAATACATATATACAATGTTTAATGTAGGAAAATTTTAGAAAATAAAATTTTCGATACCTCTCAATAATTACACCCCTTGTGGCCGGGCGCGGTGGCTCACGCCTGTAATCCTAGCTCTCTGGGAGGCGAGGCGGGCGGATTGCTCAAGGTCAGGAGTTCAAAACCAGCCTGAGCAAGAGCGAGACCCCGTCTCTACTATAAATAGAAAGAAATTAATTGGCCAACTGATATGTATATAAAAAATTAGCCGGGCATGGTGGCGCATGCCTGTAGTCCCAGCTACTCGGGAGGCCGAGGCAGTAGGATCGCTCGAGCCCAGGAGTTTGAGGTTGCTGTGAGCTAGGTTGACGCCACGGTACTCACTCTAGCCTGGACAACAAAGTGAGACTCTGTCTCAAAAAAAAAAAAAAAAAATTACACCCCTTGTGTTAGTCCTCTCTTAGATTGAATCTAGGCTGGATGAAGTGATGCTGGGCTAGTTCTGGATCTAAATCTTAAGAGAGCCTTCCAGTTTCCTCTTTATGCCCTTTGTAGCCTTGAGCCCAACATAAGGAGTAAGGCTAGCCTGATGGAGAGATTATTTGTTAAGGGTTAGGCCCTGATGCTAACTTGTTATGCTCTGTTGTATCTCCCTAGTGCCTGGATCAGAGACTGGCAAATGGTATTTGTAGAATGAATGAATGAGTGCATGTATGAATAATAAGGGATGCCACTTGACTTCTTTTCATCATGGCCTGCTCATCCATTTCCTCGTTGTTCTGAGAGACAGAGGGAATGAAAATGGCTTGTTTTGTTTTGTTTTATTGGTGAGAAATTTTGGTAGTGGTGACATTGTTATTGACTATTTTTGAAAATTTAATTTCAAATTGAAAAAAAATTTTTTTGAGACAGAGTCTCAACTCTGTTGCCTGGACTAGAGTGCTGTGGCGTCAGCCTAGCTCACAACAACTTCAAACTCCTGGGCTCAAGGGATCCTCCTGCCTCAGCCTCCCAAGTAGCTGTGACTACAGGCATGTAACACCATGCCCGGCTAATTTTTTATACATATTTTTAGTTGGCCAATTAATTTCTTTCTATTTTTAGTAGAGACAGGGTCTTGCTTTTGCTCAGACTGGTTTTGAACTCCTGACCTTGAGTGATCCTCCCACCTCAGCCTCCCAGTCAAATTGAAAATTTAATTTCAAATTGAAATTTAACCAAAGTTATATTGGGGAAGAAACAGATTTTTTTTTTCTGTTTTTATTATTAAAGGTACCTTTAAAAAGTCTATGATGTCTATTATGCCTATTTCCTTTACAGTGTTACACTATGGGAAAATTTGGATTATCTTCTAGTATCTTGGTTATATCTTAGCTGATGATGGTAATTTTTAACACTAAATTTGCCATAAATTATATGTGTATATATTTACATTCTCAAGATTTTAATCTTCTGTACATTAGGAATGTAATGAAGTTTTTATTTTAAAATCATTGCATTGTTTAATTTTATAGGTCCATTCAAAAGCTTGGTGAATTAAATATTGGAATGGATAACCTTGGTAATGAGGTATCAGTGCTTAACCAGCAATGTAATGGGAGCAAAGGCAATGCATCTAATAGTTCTTCTGTGACTAGTTTTGCTACACCACCCCAAGACTCTAGTCAGAGATTAACACATGATACTTCAAATATTCACACAAGCACTCCTCGTAATCCTGGATCAACAAATCACATACCTTTTCTGGAGGAATCACCTTGTGGAAACCAAACGTAAGTACTTATCTTTGAAGAACCTGGAAATATTAACTATCTACTAATGAATAGAAACACAGAAAGTTGAATTCTCTTTGGAGCCTTATAAAGAAAAGTTTTTGGAGCTCACTACCTACCAGATTTTTTTCTAGTCTGCCTTCATTTATGTATATTCTCTTCTTTTTTTTTGGCCAGGCTAAGGAATGTTTTGCATCTATATATTCTCTTCTACCAACTTCTGAGTCTCTTTTTATTTTCCTTCTATTACTTTTTTTGCTTGCTCACTTCAGAATATCTTCCTGATTTTCTTTTTTCTTGCCATTGGTATCTTTCAACAAATAATCTCAAATAAAACTCACAGACTTTCAGAACACTGGAAGATGTTTTACAATATGGTGGAGTGATTTAGCAAGACAGCGTTGGCAGCTCTGGCAATTACAGCAGTTGAAGACTTTGCATATTTGAGTTTTCACTAGTCAGGGAAAACTTTCATCTTCCTATCATTAGTAAACAAGTTTTAATTATGCAATGGGAATAGTTAGGGAGCATTGTCTTCATCTCTTAACATAAAACACTTTTCAGGGTGGTTCATTTAAAAATGATGACATCATTTCTCAGCTTTTGGCTAAGATCAAGTGTGAAAATGCATAACTTGCATTTGGCATTTGGATTCTTATGGGAATTAGGCTTATAAATAATTAGTGTCAAAAAACTCTAGTTTTACCTCTGAGCATACATTTATCTAGCATTTGCTTCTTCATTATAGTTCCTATAATACTTGTTTTGAATACTCCCAAAACTAGAACTCAAATTTTAAATTTTGTTTATTTTTTTAATTTTATTTTTCCCTCTTTCTACTTCCAGTCAAATTTTAAAAATTTAATTTTTTATTAGTGTAATATATATATGGCTTAAAAAGACAAATAATATTTCAAGGCTTAAAATAAAACCCATCTTTGTTCATGGTTTTTATGTCCTGTAGGCTACCATTTCCATCCATTTCTGTTTCTTTTGCTGTAGATTTCCACATTTCTAAATAACATACTTCTATTCCTTTTATTTTTTTTTTAAGAGACAGTGTCTCATGCTGTCACCCAGACTGGAGTGGCCCAGTCACAGCTCACTGTAACCTCGAACTCCTAGGCTCAAGTGATCTTCCCACTTCAGCCTCACGAGTAGCTGGGACTACAGGCATGTGCCACCATGCCTGGCTAATTTATAAAATTTTTTTATAGAGACATGGTCTTGTTACGTTGCCCAGGCTGGTCTTGAACTCCTGGGCTCAAGTGATCCTTCTGCCTTGGCCCCCCAAAGCAATAGGATTACAAGCATGAGCAACTGTGCCTGGTCCTATTACTTTTTTTATTATCCATTGATTCCCTACCATACTCCTTACCCATAATATCCTCATTTTGTCTACCCCTTCTTTCCAATATGTATCAACTTTTGTTTTGATCAGTATTCAGTGTTAACATTTCTATGATCGTGAAAATGTTATTGACAACTGGGTCATGTAGTATAATATGATTACATTTCTTTTTCATGAAACTCATTTTTCCTGGGGATAATTGCCTCAATTTGGTGTATGTGTGTGTGGGCGTGCTTAGTTTTCTTAGTATATATCACTATCTGCAAATGCTTTGAAGCATTTTTGAAAATCATAAAACTTCTCTCATTATAGTAAAAAATATCAGATAATTTCTCTATTCCATTTATTTTCTGTGGTAGCCATCCCTCCAGGTTCACTCCTGCTCCTAGGTCCTTTCATATATAGGTCTAGAGAATCCTGGGACTTTCTTCACTCTTCTCCTGAGATTTCCTTTGCCTTTTCCCTGTATTGGATTCCCAGTTTTCAGGATCTCATGTAGTTTCCTGAGAAGGGGTACATCAGAAGTGAATTTTCTGAGACCTTGCATGTCTAAAAATGTGTTCACTACCTTTAACACTTGATTTGTAAGTATAGTAGGTATAGAATTCTAGGATGGAATCATTCCTTAGCATTTCGAAGGCATTGCTGCGTGATCTTCCGATTTCATTTTTCCTTTTCTTTTCTTTTCTTTTCTTTTCTTTTCTTTTCTTTTCTTTTCTTTTCTTTTCTTTTCTTTTCTTTCTTCTTTCTTTTCTTCTTTTTCTTTTCTTCTTTCTCTTCTTTCTTTCTTTCTCTTCTTTCTTTTCTCTCTTTTCTCTCTCTCCCCTCCCCTCCCCCCTCCCTCTCTCTCCTCTCCTCCTTCCTCCCTCCCCTCCCCTCCCCTCTTCCTCTCTCTCTCCTCCCCTCCCCTCCCTCCCCTCCCTCCCCTCCCCTCCCCCCCTCCTCTCAAAAGGTCTGTTTTCCTTCATTCTGGTGGTGTTTCATGGCCCTGTTAAGCTGAAATTTAAGCTCTGGAATTGAAAAGGTATTATTTATTTAGCAAGTTTCTCATCTCTGTTTTCTATTGATTTATATTTATTATTTATTTTTATTTATTTTAGAGACAGAACTCCTTTGTTGCCCAGGCTAGAGTGAGTGCCATGGTGTCAGCCTAGCTCACAGCAACCTCAAACTCCTGGGCTCAAGCAATCCTGCTGCCTCAGCCTCCCGAGTAGCTGGGACTATAGGCATGCGCCACCATGCCCGATAATTTTTATATATTTAGTTGCAATTTATTCTATTGTAGTAGAGACAGGGTCTCACTCTTGCTCAGGCTGGTTTCAAACTCCTGACCTCGAGCAATCCGCCTGCCTGGGCCTCCCAGAGTGCTAGGATTACAGGCGTGAGCCACTGTGCCCGGCCTAAGAGGTCTGTCTTATTCTCTAATTTCTTCTTCTTTTTTTAAATAGATCTTTTGTTTACTAGATTCATTATTTCCTCTTATATCTCCGTTTTTAATTTTATTTTTGCAGCTTTTGTTTCCTAAATTGCCTCTCTTCTTCCAAGTTCTTTTTTGTTTATTTGTTTTAGTCTCTGGGTTTTTTCTAGGAGGCTTTCTTCAAGTATCTAGAAATCTTTCTCTCTCTCTCTCTCCCCCCCCCATTTCTCTCCCTCCCTCCCTCCACCCCCCTATCTAGAAATCTTTTGTTTGTAAAGAGTGAAGCATTAAAAAAAATCTTGTTTGAAAGGAAGGACTACATATGTGAATTGATCTATCTACCCATTGGGCTCCCAAAAAATGATTAAGTGGAAACATTGTTTAATAAGGGACCCTCAACTGTCAGGTTCTGTTAGTTTTTTCTCTTGGGCCAGATAATTTTCCTAAATAGCAATCTCCACGCTCATGCCTGGAATAGGATTTAAGCATAGCAAACAGGATTCTGGAACTAAGTTGAGGAAGGGTACTTGACATTTCACTATAAAATATGTGTATTTTGACTTAATCTTCTTTCCAGAATAGCTTTTCACCTACTCCTTACAACTTTTTTGGAATCACTGAATCCAGAGCATCTTAATAAATGTTTCTAGAGAGTAATTTTAACTGGGGTCATTGAGGATCATTTGCTAAAAAGAAAAATTAGTGGTTGAAAGGATTAATTTACTTTCTGTTTTGATATTTAAAGTAAACTTTATTTGAATTTCTACTCCCATAGCTCATCAGAACATTCGGTCATTAAGCCACCTCTTGGAGATTCTTCAGGGAATCTATCAAGGTCAAGAGGGGAAGAGGTAATATTTTGGGGAAGAAGTTTAATTGTTTTCATATATACATGCAAATTTTTTTTTTTTTTTTTTTCCAAATAAATACATTTATGGGTGAAACACTCCGAGAATTCCGGCTTTGGGGATCTGGTAAAACAAAACAAAACAAAAACACTCAGACAGGGAGGCTGTGTGACCTTGGGGGGGTCATTTCATCTCTCTGAATCGGTCCTCTCATCCATAAAATGGGATTTAGGAAAAATCCAGGTCTGACAGTGCTGTCTGTGGGGACTGAAACGGACACGGACAGAGAGTGGAGCTTGGAGCAGGCTGTGGCTCCAAGGGGAGTGTGAAGAGGTCCCAGGACTGGGCCCCGGAATCAGCATTTTAAGGGGCTCTCGGCCGGGTCTACATGCAAATTTTGTTAAGGAACTTTAAATTAAAAAAAAAGAAGAACCATTTTAGTCAGGTGTGGTAGCATATGCTACCTGGGAATCTGAGGCAGGAAGATCACTTGAGCCCAGGAGTTTGAGGCTGTAAAGTGCTATGATTCTGCCTGTGAATAGCCACTGCACTCCAGCCTGGGCAACATAGCAACATCTCTTAAAAAAAAAAAAAAAACAACCAACCATTTTTAGAAGGAGTCATTATTGGCTGGGCGTGGTAGCTCATACCTGTAAACCCAGGGTTTGGGGGAGGCTGAGGTGGGAGGATTGCTTGAGCCCAGGAGTTCAAGAGCAGCCTGAGCAACATAGACTCCATCTCTACAAAAAATTTAAAACTTAGAGTCTGTTGGTACACACCAGTATTCTTAGCTACTCACAAGGCTGAGGCAGGAGGATCACTGGAGCCCAGAAGTTGCAGGCTTCAGTGAGCTTTGAGCATGTCGCTGCATTCTAGCCTGGGTGATAAAACAAGACACCGTCTCTTTAAAAAAAAGAAAAGTAGCAGTCATTACTGTAGTGTTATGTATTTATGTATGTATGTTAGTATTTATCTCAAGGTAGTTGAGCTCTCTGAGCTTAGTGAACAAGTTGCCTTACAAAACACATTCAGACATCTGGAGATATTCCTATTAGTATGAATGGGGCTTGGCACATGAATTGGGGCTCTGCACTACTCTCTGAACTGTATGGTTAATTTCAGATATAATTGGTATCTCCTTTGGGCTTCTCATCAATATACCTGTATTTTTGCTTTGGAACTAGACATGCTTCCCTAACTGGTACAGCTTCACCCTATCTTAGTTCAATTTTAATCCCATAAACAAAGGTGTTCAGAATCTTTTAGATGTCAAACAGTTAACATAAATGCATAAAGTCAGTCATTTTCACGATAAGCACATGGGAATATTTGTCCCTTGCAAAATAATTAAACAAATGTATGGCTGGGCGAGGTGGCTCATGCCTGTAATCCTAGCACTCTGGGAGGCCGAGGTGGACGGATTGCTCGAGGTCAGGAGTTCGAAACCAGCCTGAGCAAGAGCAAGACCCCATCTCTACTATAAATAGAAATGAATTGGCCAACTAATATATATAGAAAAAATTATCCGGGCATGGTGGTGCATGCCTGTAGTCCCAGCTACTCGGGAGGCTAAGGCAGCAGGATTGCTTGAGCCCAGGAGTTTGAGCTAGGTTGATGCCATGGCACTCACTCTAGCCTGGGCAACAAAGCAAGGCTCTGTCTCAAAAAAAAAAAAAAAAAAAAATACAAATGGGCCAGGAGCGGTGGGTGAGTCATGCCTGTAATCCTAGCAATCTGGGAGGTTGAAGCAGGAGGATTGCTTAAGCTCAGGAGTTCTAGACTAGCCTGAGCAATAGTGAGATCCTGTCTCTACCAAAAAAAGAAAAAAACACAACAAAACCCAGCCAGTCACTACAGTGCGTGCCTGTAGTCCCAGCTACCTGGGAGGCTGAGGCAGAAGGATCACTTAGAGCCTAGGAGTTGGAGGTTGCAGTGAGCTACAGTAATGCCACTGCACTCTACCCAGGGCAGCAGAGTGAGACTGTGTCTCAACAAAAGCAAACAAGGCAACTGAGCACCCCTCCTCACAATCCCCCACCCTTTCTTTAAAAAAAAGAAACACAAATGATGTTCTGTTTTTTGTTAGAACTTCTATATATGTGAGCTATATTTTTTTCTTGATGGTTAAAGAGAACTTAATATGAGAAAAATATTTATTCTTATATTTTATCTTAAGTGAAGGAAAACTTGAATATTTATGAACTATCTGAGCTTAATTTAGCAATGAATAGTGAAAAATAGAAAAATTAGGATTAATGTGGATTTGTCACTTAACAAGACTATATGATTATAGGTAGTAAACATGAAATGACCAAACAGGAATAATATAGTTCAGATGAATTTAAATTGAGATAAAGATGAATTCATTCATATTCATTTTTTTGAGAGGATGACTTTTATATTTATTCTTTCCATAGGATGACAAATCAAAAAAGCAGTTTGTTTGTATTAATACCTTAGAAGACACACAAGCTGTTAGAGCAGTGGCTTTTCATCCAGGTGGTGGTTTATATGCTGTTGGTTCAAATTCAAAAACTTTGAGAGTATGTGCCTATCCAGAAGTCATTGATCCAAGGTAAGAATAGGTGGTTTGTATTGTTATTCTTGCCATAGTTTTTAATTTAGCTATATAGGTCCTTTTTTCAGAATTACCATTCAGTAGTGTTTCAGTTCTTACTTCCTTTCCTTCTGTTAAGCTTTAATTTTAGTGCTTAGGAAATACACTTAAGTCATTGATTAACTTTATAAATTTTTTTCATAAAGTGTTTTTTACTAGGCCATTGTTCATTGTTTAAGCTTGTCTTCCTTATTTCCATTGCTTTTGTATTTCGTTTTTTATCTGAAAAGTCCTTATACAGTAGTCCCCACTTATCTACAGGGCATATGTTCCAAGACCTCCAGTAGTAGATGCCTGAAACCTCAAATAGTACTAAACCTTGTATATATTATGTTTCTCCTATACATACATACCTATCTACTTATGATAAAATTTAATTTATAAATTAGGCACAGTAAGAGATTAGCAAAAATTATAATAAAATAGAATAATTATAATAATTTACTATAATAAATTTCTCTCTCTTTCTTGAAATATCTTATTGTGCTATACTCACCTATTTTTGGGCCATAGTTGACCATGGATAACTGAAACTGAGGAAAGCCTAACAGTAGATAAGGGGGGACTATTGTATTCTAATTAAATTACAAAAGATAAAGACAAAGAGAGAATACAGATTTCTTATAGTAGCTTCAGAGAAGTGTTAGGTTGGACTATATGAAATTGCTGATATTTGACCATTTTAAACCTACAAAAATTAAAATTTCATTTGGTCAACCTAATAATGATTTTATCCTCTCATTTTAACAGATTATGGGATTTGAAAATAAGACATATGTCTTTAAAGACATACGTCATTACAAATGGACATATGACTTAATCTATTAGGTGTACAACTAATTCTTTAAAGTTACTAAGAAAGCAAACAGTTTAGATGTATCTCTAAGAAAGCTGGATTGAACTCTTTACTCTTTGATTAGGGAGCCTTTTTGTTGATGTATTTGTTAAAACTTTTACTATCAAAATACTACTTGGGAGGCTGAGGCACAAGGATTGCTTGAGCCCAGGAATTAGAGGCTACAGTGAGCTATGATTGTGTCACTACACTGCAGCCTGGGCAACAGAGTGAGACCCCATCTCTAAGCAAATAAAAAAATAAATTAGCATGGCAAAGATCATGAGCTATTTGGTAGATTTTTGTGATTAGGGAAATGAATGCCACAGATGGAATAGTTTTCATACCAATAGATAAAAACACCCCAACAAAACAAGCTACAAATCTTTGAAAGTTTTAATTATAAAAAGTACTGCATGTCATAGTATGTTTTAGATGTTTTTTACAACTCTTAAGACTTTTTATTATAACCCTGGTTTGGGGAACAGAGGGGTGGGATTTTTCATTTGTTTGCATTTTGGCCATCTATGTCTGAAGCTAGTAATTTTGGCTTTTGGACTGTGGTAGCATTTAAAGATTGGGAAAGGGACTAATAGGGCTCATGTTAGATATAGTATTATAATTTGTTGATATTAATTCTATTATATAAGTAGAAATACATGAGAGAAAATGGCAGAATTCTAGATCAGGTAGTAGAAAACAGCAATAATTTTGGAGCTAGAGCCAAAGATTTGTATGTTTAGGGTTAACCTTATCTTAACTGTTTCTCATCTTTTATATTTCTTATGCTGACACAGATATTTCATAGACTGTGAAGAAACTGACATTTATGAATATAAATGCTTTTATTTAGTAAATATATTTTGAGCTCCTATGTGCTAGGTACTATGATAGGCTTTAGGGATTGTTGTTTGTAAAACAAATATGTTTACTGACTTCATGGAACTTCTGGTTTAGTGGAGAAGGTGGATACTATATAAATGAACACAAATATAAGTATACATTGTGGTAGGTGTTAGGAAGAAAAATTACAAGGTGCTATAAAGAATAAAATGGGGATGAGATGGGGTGCAGACTGGCAAGTTAGAACAAGGCCTCTTTGAGGCCTTAAAGCTGAGTTCTGAGGATAATAGAACCTAGCCATGTGAAGAGAAGGAAGAAGAGTAATACAGAGGGACCATGAGGTAAGAAAGAGCTTGGCTTCTTGAGGAATTAAAATAAATATAGATTGGTTGGAATATTGTGAGCTGGAGTGTGATAAGGGCACAGACAGATATGAACTAAATTGTGCAGAGCTTTCTAGCTTTTGGATTTTATGCTGAGCACAGTGGAAGCCACTGAAAGTAACAGATTAAGTGTGATCTAAATAGATCTTGAGAGGATCACTGTGGCTGTGGATCAGGTGGCAATAAGAGTAGACACTAAGAGAAAGGTAGGAGGCTGTTGTATTAATAGTTGATGGCTAATGTGATGGCAGTGGATATGGAGCAGAATGGGTCCATTTGAGATAAAATCCATTTAAAGAAAGAATCACTGGCCGGGCGCGGTGGCTCACGCCTGTAATCCTAGCTCTCTGGGAGGCCGAGGCGGGCGGATGGTTTGAGTTCAGGAGTTCGAAACCAACCTGAGCAAGAGCGAGACCCCGTCTCTACTATAAATAGAAAGAAATTAATTGGCCAACTTATATTACAAAACATTAGCTGGGCATGGTGGCGCATGCCTGTAGTCCAGCTACTCAGGAGGCTGGGCAGAAGGATCGCTCGAGTCCCAGTGGAGTTTGAGTTGCTGTGAGTAGCTGGAGCCACGGACTCACTCTGCCTGGACAACAAAGCGAGACTCTGTCTCAAAAAAAAAAAAAAAGAATCACTGGTACTTGGTGATCATTGTGCAGCTGAAAAGAGACTCTTCTTTATTTTATTTTATTTTAATTTATTTTTTTCAGCATATTATGGGTCAAATCTAAGTCTATAGTTATATATTGGCCTTGCACCCTCCCCAGTCAGGCTTCAAGCATGTCTAAACCCCAGAAGAGAGACTCTTCTGATCTATTCTCTAGATCAATATTAAACACTTTCTAGGTATTAAAGGTTTATCAATCTTCTTTGTTGTTTTTAAAAATTTTTTTTCTTAATTATGAAAATTCTAAACACCCAAAGTAGATAGACTAGTCCACTGAAATGCAATCATTGTCAAGATTTCTGTCACAGGCCAGGTACCGTGGCTCATGCCTGTATTCCTAGTACTTTGGGAGGCTGATGTGGGAGGATTGCTTGAGGCCAAGAATTTGAGACCAGCCTGAGCAACATAGTGAGACCTCCATCTCTACAAAAAAAGTTTTTTAAAAATTAGCTGGGCATGGTAGTGTATGCCTGCAGTCCCATCTTCTTGGGAGGCTGAGGCAGGAGGATCACTTGAGTCCAGGAGTTTGAGGTTGCAGTGAGCTATCGTGATGCCATTGTACTCTAGCCCAGTCAACAGAGTGAGACTTTTGTCTTAAAAAAAAGAAAGACTTTTTTTTTTGAGATAGAGTCTCACTTTGTTGCCCAGGCTAGAGTGAGTGCCATGGCGTCAGCCTAGCTCACAGCAACCTCAATCCTGGCTCAAGCATCCTCCTGCCTCAGCTCCAAGTAGCTGGGACTACAGGCCATGGGCCACCATGCCGGGCTAATTTTTTCTATATATATATAGTTAGTTGGCCATTAATTATTTCTGTTTATAGTAGAGACAGGGTCTCGTCTTGCTCAGGCTGGTTTTGAATCCTGACCTTGGCCAATCCGCCCACCTTGGGCCTCCCAGAGTGCTAGGATTACAGGTATGAGCCCCGCGCCAAGCCAAAAGAAAGATTTTTACTGTTGTTTCATTGAATCTCTTGTTATGCTAAGTATTTTAACGTAATCCTAGATATTCATGTCATTACTTTCATCCTCCGGGACTTGAATCTCCAGATAGGTATGTACGGTTTTCTTATCATGACTGTGTTTTTATCATTTTACCTGATTTGAAAAACATTAGTATCATATTAGTCTGCATTTAAAGTGCGAAGATGCTTACTTCACTAAGCGGCTCAATACTGCCACAAACCAATGGGTTTGACCACCATTAAAGCCACTCTTGGCCCGGCGCGGTGGTCACGCCTTGTAATCCTGCTCTTTGGGAGGCCGAGGGCGGGCGGATGCTCGAGGTCAGGGTTCGAACCAGCTGAGCAAGGAGCGGAGACCGCTCTACTTAAAGAAAGACTTAATTGGCCAACTAATATTATATATTATATACACATATGGCATGGTCGAGTGCATGCTGTAGGTCCAGCTACTC